CCATATTTATAAATTATATTATTCATCTTCTTCCTTCCTTCTTCTCTCTCATCCCTTTGCCTCTTCTTTTTTCACAGTCTTCTTCCTTCTCTTCCCTCCTTCTTCTATCTTTTTCTTCTTCTTCCTCCTCCTTCCCTTTCCAGATCTGTGTGGGTTCTCTGTTGAGAACACGGATCTAGGTTCTCTCGCTAAGAAAGAACCCAATTTTGGGTTCTCTAAGAAAACCATTCGTCATGAGAGCCATGGATCGATGATGGACATAGTCAATTGAGGCAAACAACAACGAAGGCCAAAGATTACAAAGATTTAAACCCTCAACATTGATCGCAAGAACCCAAATCTAGGTTGTTTCCATACAACTAAGGTTTTTTGCTTTCTTTTTCATTTTTGGTGTGTTTGGTTGCCATGAAAGGGTGGTTTCTTTTTCAAAGCCAAAGCTAGTGTGCAAAAGGAAGATATTGTGATTGTTGGAGTAGGGATTGCTGGCCTCGCCATTGCAGGATGACAAAGATTTATTGTTTCTTATGACTTGATATTTTGATGTTAAAATTGCATGTGAAATTGTATATTTTATTTTCAATTAATTGATGTAATTTAGTTTTTAAATTAGAAAAGGTCTTCAAAAATTTAGGTTTCAAGTATGATTTTTGGGTTTCTAACACATGCGTTTTCTAGTGTAGCATTGGTGTTATTCTACATGCATAGGTAAGGAGTAACAAGTAAACGGTGAGCTAGACGATGAGCCATCACCATCATACGAGTCAAGAAGATCTCAAATTTAGGTATCAAATAGGATTTTTTGCTTAAGCAATGGAGAAACCTTTGTCTAAGAAGAAAATTTTTGTTGGTTTAAGGGAAGGAGGAATATACATATTTTTTAAACATAAAATTACCACGTCATTTTAGAGAATTCCACCTAATATTTGAAAAGTAAAAGAGTTGGAATTTTTTTTACGAAAAATGTATTACATCAACATTTAACTAACAAAAAGATAAAACTGGCACCAAAAAGTGAAGTTTAAGAACAATTTTGATACCTTTTGAAGTTTGGGACAATATTTTGTACTAAAATGAAAGGTTGAGGGACCAAAATGGTATTTAACTTTAAAAATTCGTCATCGTTTTGCTTTCTCTAAACATTTTTAATTTTATTTTTGCAAAAAAAAGCACCCAAAGCTTTATAGAAACTCTTTAAAGGCCCTCAAACCTCTTTCTCTTAATGACTGATATTCTCTTCTCCTATTGCGCGGTCAACTCCTATTCCCCTTGACAAGAAACTTTTTTGGTGCAAGAACAAAAACCAATAAAAGCCCCACTCGAACAATTTCTCCAAAACCTATCATACATAACCACAAGGAACACTATTCTTCTATATGTCTACTCCACAAACCCCAAAGAATTGAACAAATAAACCAAGTAATTTTAAAACAAACAAACAATCAATTCACAACTTAATTTACTAACTTAACTAGAGCCAATAAAGCCTGAATAATGAGGGGAAAGGGTCAAAACACATTTACTATGTTGTACTCAATTCGATTCCAGTTTTCTTCTAGTCTTAGCCCAAACTACTTAGTGCATGTTTGGTGCAGCTGGTGGGAAGTGCTTTTGAAGTCCAAAAGCTCCAACTGCACCAAACACCAACTATATTAGCAACAGAAGTGTATCAAAATAGATATGGTCCAAATTCATAGGTCTTAACTTGTTCATTGTAAGGCAAAATTACTTGATCATATAAGCTCTAGTCTCAATAGCTCTACATTCACATATGTGATTTTCTTTGTTATTGAAAATAAGTTTTCATATATAATAGTGTACAATGATGGAATAGTTATAATCATAATTGCAATAATTCAGCCAGCTCACCTTTTTCATCAAGCAGAAGAGATTATTGTAGCAACCAAAGAACACATGCAATCCCATCTTTATGTGCTTGCCACGTTCATCAACAAAAGAGCCTACTTCGCCATCAATGAAGGACCTTGACTCATATATATCCACCAGACAAAGACTAAAGCACTCATCTAATTACCACCATGGATAGGACTAAGGATTAGTCAACAAATCATTCCCACACAGAGAATGAGCATAACAGGCAGCATTAGGTAATTGTGTTTCAACTAGAGAATGAAAAATGCCAAAAGATGTTTCTAGCATGTAACCAAGTACTTGTAACAAATTTATGGTTATTTGAAAGTTTATCTTGAAATGCCAATATTGTCTAAAATTTAGATATTGCAGAAATAACTCAGTTGCAAGACAAGTAAAACCTCATGGCCTTGATCCAACACCTCCACTGCTGTTGACATGCCCGCAAGTCCAGCTCTAATAATGCTACTTTCAGCTTTGGTCCCTTATAATGTTCAGGTTCTAGTGGAAACACCCTTTGGAGCTACAAGAATAGACCATCCAATTATTTATTATAATTAACCAAAATAACAATGTCACTGATCTTTAAATTATGAGAAACAAAATTCTATTTAAGGTATGATCTTTCTAGCACAACCCAGAACCAAACTTTCATTATAAGCTGAGATGGCCAAATCAATTTAATAACTAATCCACTGCAATTTTTGCTAAGGAAATCAAGCAAAGCCACTGTGACATCTCCAAACCTCCTACTAAGTAGCAAAAATCGAAACCAAGGCAAAACCTCAAACCCATCTCTGGCATAAATATAAATCCCTAGAAAACAAGAACTTCCAAAATCTAAAGACCCCAAACAACCAATTATTGCAAAAATGAATTTGCACAAAAAGGGACTCAAAAAATTACCAGTAACGCTCATATCAAACATGTTAGTATCCAGAGAAGACCGCACACATAGCCTCTTAGACTTCAGCTTACCCACTGAACCAAGCCCAGTGTACTCAAATAGAACAAAACAAGAAGCCATAGGTGCCAATCTTCAAAAATACCCATAAAAGAAAATTTAAGCCCTCCTTTGAAACCACCGGTGGTAGTAATATTATCAGTCTAACTCGATTTAGAAGCAAATTACAAAGAGGAACAAAGAAGGTATCTAAATGAAAAAATGCCAAAGGAAAGAAGAAAAAGTGAGGCAGTGACACTGCCACTAAAAAAAAAAAGGACCCAACACAAATTAACAAAATTCAAAGTTTCAAACCAAATTCTGTGAAAGACAAAAGACAAGAGATGGGTTTGTAATAATTTTTAAGGGCTAAATTCAATATACTAGATTAAAAATTTTTTTGGAGCATTGGGTGCTTTTTTTGCCCTTATCTTCCAATGTAATTTGAGGTTTTCCCTGCGGAAGAGGGAGGAACATGACAACTTCTTTCTCTAGTGACAAAAAAGTATCTTGTGTTGTCGATCCTGTATTTTTAAATGGAGTAGCATATTTAATCCAAAACTTGAGATTTTTCCATTTTTGAACAAGGGCAATTATATTACATTACAACTACAAACTACATGTCATAGTTATGGCCACCTAAGAATTATTAGGGTCAAAAGTAATATAATTATTTTTAATTTAATTATTAAAAATAATTAATAATTGTAATGGTTAGCTAATATAGCTGATAATAGATAGTATATATGTATTTATAAAATAATATTTTAAAGTATCTTAATAGTTATAAAGGGATAAAAAAAATTAAATACATATATTGTATTTTGTGTGGTCCTAATAATTTCTTAAGTGGGAATGAAAGTCAATGGTTGAGCTTGAATCCAAGACCTGCATGCCACATTATTAAGCCCTAACCACACTACCACAATGTGGTTAGCATTCAAAACTTTATTTTGCATTCACTTTAGTTTTGTTGCATGTGTGGAAGAAAGTCTAGAATATCATGAAGATACCATGTCAATGGCATTCCCTTCCAATTAGAGTCTGCCACTTCATCTTGTAACAGAATAACATAGTATTCAACAAAAGTCTTAAACTTGTGAAGAAAGTTTAGAATTAAAGCTTGAAAGGTAAGTTTTACATTTCAAATTAAGGTTATTTCTAGATCTAGTGCAATGGCTAAAAGCCTTAATTGAGCACTCTTGAAGAAAATATAGATACTATTGGAGGTTAACGTAAGATAAGAGAGAAGACAAGAAATGCCTTTATCTTTGAGAGAAAGAGTTACAATTTTTCATATTTTTCGTGTTTAAGTTTTTCATTTTGATTACCTTGTGATCATTATTCTTTTCATTCTCTTTTATCAAGAAAGTAAGAGAGCGACTAGGTAGTTTTATTAGATTTAGAAACACTGTTTTTGGTATGGGATTGAATTTATGAGAGATTATAGCAAGTGATTAGTTTGTTGAAGGTGAATAACACTAACAAAGTTATTACCAACAATTTTCTTTATACCCGAAAGTTGAAGGAAAAGCTTTGAATCAAAAGCAAACACTCAAATAGGTAGCTTGAGAAATGGTGTTAGACAATTATCAATGCCATGTGGTATATCAATGACAATTATCTAATTTTGTATAGCATTTATTTCTTACATATCTTACATTTATGTTGCCAATTGTGTATGAAGGGTGGTGTCGGACGTTCACTCAACAACAGATGTGAAGGATGTAAAAATACTTTGGGTCGGAAAGATGATGAGTCTTTATTTGACTACTCATTTAAATATTAATGAGCTGAACAGATAATCCCACGTTTTCTATGTTCATTTTTCCTTTCATTTAGCTTATCATTTTTCCAATAGGAGCTAATGTAGCTGAAACTGAAAAGGATTTTGATTCCTGTGAGACGAATGCAATGGAAATCAATTCAAGTGACAATGCAGTCAAGAAGGCTTAAAAACACTGCCCTTTGTGCTAAAAAAAGTTAAGATTTGGACTAATTTTTAGGCATAAATATAAGGAAAAAAAGTTTTATAACTTAGACTGCACATTAAAAATAATAAAATTATTTTGTTATATTATTTTATTAATAATAATTTAATAATTAAATTGCACATTAAATACAATTCATTTTGCAAAACACTAATTTATCTACATATGAAGAGAAGCCTCTTGGGCTCAACAGAAATGCACGTACTAAACTTGCCAAAAGACGTAAACTGGCGTCGCCTGGACTCAAACCGAAGACCCTCTATGTGTTAGACTAACGTGATAACCAACTACACCACAACACCAGTTGGTTTCTGCAGTAATACTGATTTTTTTTAAAACAAGAAAATCAGAATTCAATCTTTACCTTGGGCAGGTGGCCCCAAAGAAAACAGTAAGCAGAGCAACCTACTGGCTGTACTCGTACCACATAAAAGTTGTGAGGTTTGAAAGAGGAGTGTTGAAGTCACAGAGAAAGTGTTAAGATATGAACATAATTATATTAAGAATTATTGTAAATATTTTATACTTTAGAATATTCTCTTTATATACTTTATACCTTAGAATATTCTCTTTGTAAACACCTATATATAGGTCATTGTACATATAGTATAATTCAAGAAAGCAATAAACATTTCTTCAGATATTTCTCCTTCTTTTCAATTTCTAACATGGTATCAGTTTTTAACTCCTCAACACTTGCGACATCATCTCCAGTAATAATCATGTCATCAACATAAAGAAGTAAAAGAACCATACCCCGAGTAGTCTTACGAATGAACAAAGCTGTATCATGTGGACTGGAAGTAAAACCAAACTCACTCGCAGTAGCACTAAACTTTGCATACCAAGCTCGAGGGGATTGCTTCAACCCATATAATGCTCGGCGCAATCGACACACCTTGTTTGGAGGATGGTGGAGCCCAAGAGGTGGTTTCATATAAACTTCTTCTTCTAAGTCACCATTAAGAAAAGCATTTTTCACATCCATCTGAAACAATTTCCATCTCCGTATAGCAGCAATAGCAAGCAAACTGCGCACAGATGTAAGACGAGCAACTGGAGCAAATGTCTCTTCATAGTTGATTCCATACTCCTGTGTAAAATCCTTGGCAACCAAGCATGCCTTATAACGCTCCACAGAACCATCAGATCACGTTTTGATCTTGTACACCCATTTACAGCCTATTAGAGATTTTTCAGCAGGGAGAACAACTAAATTCCATGTACGAGTGTTCTCAAGAGATTGTAATTCATCTTGCATAGCTTGTTGCCAAAGAGGGTTAGAAGAGACCTCTTGATAGGATTGAGGCTCATGTAACGAAGTAATAGCAGGAAAACAATGATAATCACGAAGGTAGTTTGGAGGCTTTCTTACCCGAGTAAGA